ATGAGAATTCAACAAGAGAAAATGGTAGAGGATGAAAGGATTGTGAAGAAAGGATTTCTAGCAAGTAGGACCAAAATAATTGATGGCTCTTTTAGCCTATGCTGATGGCCCAGGCTGGGAAGGGATCTATTTGAAGCTGGGGAACGGAGCAAAGTCATGGAAAGATTTCAGCACAACAATGCATTGAAGACAAAGGAACAATATTGGATGAGAATGGGAATGGTGGATAGATAAGTGAATCTGGGAGACCTGCTACATTTTGAATAAACTGGAGTTTGTGATGGGTGGCAATGAAGGGGAAACTGAATGATCAGGAGGGGGAAATCGAAGAGTGCCTTAGGTGACAGGAGGTCAATATAGTGGAAAAGTTGAACTTAGACAGAACAGAAGGAAGATTGAGAGAAATTGGTCAGTGATGAGATTTCAGGGCTGAAATGGTTAAGAGAAAAAGGAAGGTTGTGGGGCCACTGCCTCAAAGGAGCAAGTATGACAGCGTGAATCATCATTTTTTAAATCATTTTTACGCATACAAGCGAAAACACAACAGCTGACTTGCACGCAAATTCATACAAAAGAGAAAACAGTAAAGAGTGTTAACATACCAGAATTACTCTTCTATACCAATTGAGCAGGAATCAGGACCCAGAGCTGCCCAAATCAGCAAAATTATGGATAGAAAGGTAAGGATACATTAGATAGGTCATGGAGGTAAGTCAACAAAGAACACACAAAAATGGAATGTAGAAAGTCCTATTAATGACATGCAGAAATAACTTGTTAAAAAATTTGTGGGATGCATCTGGTTAAGCCGTTGAATGTTTCTAGGCAATTATGGATTACAAACCATCGGAGGATTTGGCTTCATTAAAACTTGAAACAGTTCTCAATATTTTCAAATTTATTAAATTATGCAAATACAGGCCAATTCAAATTACACAAATAACCTGCTGATCACAACCCTATCTTCAAATATCAGGAAATCTGAATGAAACATAGTACCAACAGAAAATTACTGGTAATATCTTGAAAACTTAATTTTAATAGACGATTTTCAGATGTGCTACATTTTGCGCTGTACCCTATATTTGTAGAAACAATAAAAACCATCCATTAAAATGGGTATGATAGAATCCCTACAGTGTGGAAACAGGCCCTTCGGCCCAACAAGTCCACACCGAACCTCAGAGCATCCCACCCAGACCCATCCCCCTATAAACCCACCTAATCTACACCTCCCTGAACACTATGGGCAATTTTAGCATGGCCAATCTACCTAACCTGCACATCTTTGGACTGTGGGAGGCATGCAGATACGTGGAGAATGTGCCAACTCCACACAGACAGTCACCCGAGGCTGTAATCGAACCCAGGTATCTATGCCTAGTGCACTATCCGCATTTCGCCGAGAACTGTGTTTAAACGAAAATCAATTGGCTATAGAGTTAGGTGGAATGAACTATTCAAATTGGTATAGTAAAGGTTTCTTAAGGAAGAAAGGTTTTACAATTCTTATCAATAAATTCTTTAATAGTCATTAATTTCATCGATTCCTTGAGTTTAAATTTAAGCCTGTACAGCCAAGATGAAAGATATTAATATTTACTTACAGGGTTCACTACACGAATGATTTTTAACTTCTAAAATCACAATCACATAAGTTGATGTACAACATCTAGATTTCCTAAAGGTCTTCAATACGGTGTCATATAAACTAATATATCAGATCAGAACATGAGGAGTCAGAAGACTCTGTCAAAATGGACAGCAAACTGGCTGCAAGATAGAGGGCAATTCTAAAGGATTGTTATTTAGAAAGGTAGATAGAAGGAAGTGCTACTGGGGTCACTGTTGTTCATAGCTTACATTAACACTTCAGGCTCTGGAATCAAAAACACCACTTTTAAGTTTGTGGATAACACTAATGCTTTTTCAGGTCGAGGGAAGAGAATACGGATGTAGTCAATTCCAAGAAGCACTACAGCTGAATAAACTTGCAGAATGGGGACATAAATGACAAATGAACTTCAACACACTTATAACAGTTTACACATGGCAAGACAATTAAGGACACCACACAGACAATGAATATAAGTATCTAAAGAGGACAGAGAAATAATGAGATTTGGGAGTACGAAAACAAAAATCACTAAATGTTGAGGCACAGATTAATACATCCATAAATTGAAGCAAAGCATGCACTGGGGTTCATATCAGGAGAGAGAAGTGGTTAATCTGTATCAAAGCTTGGTTAGGTCAGACTTGGGAGTACTGTGGACAGTTCTGATCACCATATTTAAGAACGTAGAGGAACTGGAAGGGACGCTAGAAGATTTACAAAAATGGCACCAAAAATGCACGATTACACCTATTGGGGAAAATGTGAACAGTTTGAAAGAAAGACCTAAGGGGTGGTCTAATATATGAACTTATGAAACATTTTGATAAGAGTAAGGGGGAGAACAAAACTAGAGGCCATCAATATACAACAGTCAAGAAACACAATAGGGAATTCAAGACAAGGTTTTTCTTTTAACCAGAATGGTGGGAATGCCACATTAAGTAACTGAAAGGAAGTAATATTTTACAGGAAGCTAGGCATGAGGGAAAGTGGTACATAATTTTATGTTGATAAAGTTGTATGAGAAAGGATTCCAAGAGATCAGAGTGGAGTAGAAATGCAAACGTAGATTGGCTGTATTCTGTGAAACAAGGATTTGTGATGGATAGTTAGCAACAATAAGGTAGACATAGACAGGAAATGATTTGAGATTTTCAATTTACTTCCAATTAAATGCTCAACAGTTTTCCATTCAAGTGAAACAAAATGTGTGGGGCCTTCCTTAGATTAAATAGAAAGAAATATTAACACAAAGAACCTCAGATAAGTCAACTGAGATAGAGGAAATAGAAAGCATAAAAAGTGTGTGTGTATTAGGAAGAAAGCCTTAGTGCTTTGTGATTGGAAATGAATGAAAAATGAGCCAAATCTGAAACAAAAACATGCTCACATCACAGATCCAATGAAGATTAGAAAAATAAATGCAAAGACGTTGTAGAAAATTGAAGGAATGGTTTAAAATTTGAGAAAATTTGAGGTAAAAAATGGTTAGACAATGGGGTGAAGGGAGCAAAAAGATTTTTAAGCAAATTAGCACGAGCAGGATAGTGAAGACACTGCATTAAGGCCTAAGAAGAATTTTGTAAAGAAAACTGAAAGTGGCAGAGATACTAATCAAGTACTATGCCATCATTTTCATAAATGAAGTGGATAGGGGCTGTAGAAGCACTTGAATGAATCTTTTTCATGTGGTTATCATACAGATAAACTGTATTAAAGAACTGACTCAAAGACAGGTCTTAGGATCTGATGATACAGAAGACATCAATTAGGTGGCCTGCAATTAAACTTTTGCATGTAGGTTTGAACATTTCATTATGCAGGGTTTTGAAAGCAATAGAAAAATGTGTAATTATGACATCAAATGCAAGTAATTAGAATTATTATTGTACTGAGAAATTTCAGGTATGAAGAAAAATTTAAAAGATTGTTTCTATTGCTCAGTCTGGTACTTACATAGGAGCACAAATTAAAATGGTCACAACTTTAATTAAAAGCTAGAAATTTTCTTAGGACACTTGAAATGTGGAATTTCTCCCATAAATCAATGATGTCGCAGAATCCTTAAAGCTTTTTCCAGTCCTCTGGATTCATGTTCAAGAGAGAGAAACTGTAAAGGGTGTGGAATCAGAGGGTTACAGCACTCAAACAGGCCAATTATACCAGCGCCAGCTCTCAAAAAGTTATTTTACTTAGCTCCACTTAGGCAACCTTTATTAAAAGCGTTATACATTTTTCTTTGTCAAACATTTACCCACTCCACTTTGAAAAGCCTTTATTGGATGCTGCTTCCAGCACTGTTTCTGGTAGGATAGTTCATGTCGAACAACCATATAATTACGATTTTCTGAACCTGTCTGTAAACCCACATATCTTAACATGTGAACTAAATAATCAAAAACATTTCAAAGACTTTGACAACGTATAAACTATCTGACACCCAGCACAGCAGCATTTGTGGAAGCAAGAAAGATTGCATTTTAGGTAACAAAAAATATTCTACAATAGTCTTTTAGGCTTGCATTATTCAAGCATGCATGCAAACATTTAACCTATATAGTTGTTGGGTATTATTAAAGCACGTTTTAAAAAGGATTATGACTACAGCAGGCTAATAATTTTGAATTGTTTCATACCAATGACTTTTGATCTCTGATCACTGGTAGGTTAGCAAGTTGAGGCCAGTTTCCTGATAATTTCCCAACTATTTATATCTTCTGGATAGTACTGATGCTCTACAGGTATATAGTTCCAGTGGTCCCACTTATCATCCACCTCTCCATACCTCAACTCAGTGAGTGGTTAGTAGACAATTCAAATCTGGTAGGGGAGGTACTGTAGACAAGCATACAATACTAACTCTACATGGCTTTCTGGATAGTGGTCAGAAGTCAGAGCCCTGGTTAATTTTCCTCTTTTTAACCCACGGACATGGTGACCAACTGCAGTGCCCTTGCCATAATTCAAGAATCAACAATGGGACTAGCCAACTCTGCATGGTGCACTGGATAACTTTCAATTCGAGGTCAGGAATTTGTGGGAGTAGGAAGAGAGGGGGAGAAAGGAAGAAATGAGAGGGAGAGAGAAAGAGACAGAGAGAAAGAAAAGGATTAAGACTTGCATTTTCATGGAGCTTTTTCATCATCTCTCAGGAATGAAATGCAACAATTGTTATATGTAAGAAATTTGTTAAAACATTGCTACTTACCAAATAAATAACCAAAAGGTGCATTCGCTGAAGTTCTGAACATACTTCAAGTTTGATAAAGAGACACGTTGGTGTACTATTCATTCAATCCCACCACATTAATAAGAAATATATTAAATTGCAAAGACATATAGAAGAAAGAAATTTATAGAAAGTAAAACAAAGGGCAAGTACCTGGCAGGGTCATTTCTAGACGAGTATCCCCATCTTCCTCAGTATGTCTATTGTGCTCATTGTTGCTATCTTGTACTATTTCCTCAGAGTACGTTCTATCGACTGGAAGAAAATAAACAGTTAGGGAACACCCTAAAAAGTGCTTCCCAAACTTTTTTTCTCATTGTGACACCATTATGGAGAGAAGTTGCGAAGCCCCAGCCCTCAGGGATGGCATTTCAAGACTCCCTGGACTTACTCAATTACCTAAGAATTAATTATTAACAAAAAGGGCAACCTGAATTTTCTTTTTAATGTTGAGTTATGATGGCATGAAGCACTCTGTCTGAAAAGGAAACTGCAATAATAATAAAGTTTGAAAAAGAATTACAAAATTACTTGAAGTGGACAAGTTTGCAAACTGTTTCCCTTTGAATCCTAAAGGATATCTTATTATGCGAAAAGGAACTACTTAAATACACGTTGTGACTGTTGTTATATCATTCTATGATTAAATAACTCACTTTGATCTTGTGCTTCAATTTCTGGGGTTTCTGCAATTGTAGTATTCTGAAAAACAGAAACCTATGTTGGTTGTCATACAGTAAGTCAACATTTCAACTGAATTCACTTAATACCATATTTCCATAACTTTCCAATCTCATGACAATACTGGTAGAGAAGCACCTTACAGAATCTCGGTTACCTCCTGTGGGAAATATATTTTGACTTTAAACAGAAGCTTAAAATCATAAGACGTTAGAGCAGAAGTAGGCCATTAAGCCTGTTCCACCATTAAAGACATCATCGGCGATCTGATAATCCTCAACTCTACTTTGCTGCCTTTTCCCCTTAACCTTCGATTCCCTTACTGATTAAAAATCTGTCTATTTCAGACTTGAATATACTTAATGACCATGCCTGAACAGCACTCTGCAGTAAAGAATCCCACAGATGTCTCTGGCCTTTCCTTTCCTCAGAAGGGCAGCACAGTGCCACAGTAGTTAGCACTGCTGCCTCACAGCGCCAAGGGCCTGGGTTTGATTCCACCCTCGGGCAACTGTCTGTGTGGAGTTTGCACATTCTCTGTGTCTGCGTGGGTTTGCTCCGGTTGCCTCCCACAATCCAAAGATGTGCAGGCTAGGTGGATTGGCCATGCTAAATTGCCCATAGCGTTCAGGGATGTGTAGATTAGGTGTATTATAGGGGGATGGGTCTGGGTGGGATGTCTGAGGGTCAGTGTGGACTTGTTAGGCCTAAGGGCCTGTTTCCACACTGTAGGGATTCTATGACCATGACTATGAGATTCACAACACAGAGTGTCGTAATTGTGTGACCTCCTTATTCTGAGATTATTTCCTCTGATCATAGACAGATACAATATATTTTTCCCTAGATAAGGAGCCCAAGCCTGTGGCCTGACAAGTGCCTTATGCGGTTTTAGCGAAACCTTCCTATTTTTATACTCCATTCTCTTTGAAATGAAGGCCTCCCTGATTACTCACTGAATTTAAATGCTAGGTTTTTATGATTCCCAGATGAGGACTCTCAAATCCTGCTGTTCTGTAGCTTTCTGCAGTCTTTCTCTATATAAATCATAGCCAGCTCCTCTATTTTTCCTGTCAAAGTGCACAACCTCATTTCTTCAAACTCACTTAACCTGTCAACATCTCTCAACTGATTCTGTGTCATCCTCAACACATGCCTTCCCACCTGTGCCTGGGTCATCCAATAACTTGGCTACACTACATTCGCTTTCCTCAACAAAGCCATTAATGTATATTGTAAATAACTGTGGCTGCATCACTGATCCCTGTGACACCAGTCATAACAGGCTTCCATACTGAAAATGTCCCCCTTATCTCAACACTCTCTTCTTGCATTTATTTTACTTGATTAAGTTCAAAGTGACTAATTTCAGACTTTCCTCTGCCATAAAATCTGAAGTTTCACTCACTTGTCTCACTAAGTTACTCCAGTTTCAAAATTCAGAAACCTGTGGTGACCATACCCAAGTTACAGATTATATCCAGTCTTTTTAAAGGCTGATCTTCTCTTTTGAGGTTTGTGCTCATGCTTTTTGTACTTTTTATACTTAAAAGTATTAACAATCAAGTTCAAGTACAGCATGGATACATTTTCCGAAGAAGGGTTCCGAACCAAAATGTCAACTTTCCTGCTCCTCTGATGTTGCCTGGCCTGCTGTGTTCCTCCAGATCCATACTGTGTTGCCTCTGGATTCAATAGTCCATCCTCTTTGTAAAACAAAAACTACAACTTACTTCCAACCTCAAACATTGTGACCTGATTGCAATCTTTATTTCAGTCTTACAGCACAGACACATTAATACATACATATGTTTGCAAACTTGGTCGTGAAACCATAATTGTTTTTTACTCATACGGGATTTATATTAAAAAAAAATTCCCTGACTGAATAACTTCTCTAAGCTGTTTTTTCTGAAAAAGGTCATTCACAGTAGTTTCAACAACTCTCTCTTACTTCTTGTGAACTAGACATATTGGGCTGTTGTGGTCCATTCTTCTGCAGCAGAATATCGGAATCTTCTGAAAGCTTTTCTTCATCCTCCTCTTGTATTGGAGAAGATGGAGAGCGCAGACTGCTGAATTTTAAATTAATACAATTTCATAATTAGACCCCTTCATTATCAAATATAAACCAGATTGAAATTAGACATAGGAACATAAAACTTAGGAGCAGGAATAAACCATTTGGTTATTTAGGCCTGCTCCAACATTCTACAAGATCACAGCTGATCTGGTTGTGGTATTCTATCAGGTCAATGTCATTAGTGCAGAGGCATTTGCACAAACATTTTCGGTATATAATGTAGATTATTACTTGGATTTTTTTCCCTTGTATGCAAATTGGAACAGACAAAAAACATGACGACAAGACTGAGGCATCTTGATTCTAGTTTGAAATAAAAACACCAAATGCTGGAGAACGCAGGAAGAGAAAAACAGAGTTGATGATTCGAATTTCAGTGAGCCTTTGTCAGAATTGATCCTGGTTTGCAATTTAACATAGACAGTTTATTACCATTGGATTCTCTAAGATAGATATCTAGCTGGGCATCTGGACATAATCCTATTCTGCGAGGAATAGTAGAAAAATCATTCTTCCCCTGACTCCCCAAAGTCTCCTTCCGTCCCAGTATCTCTCTTCTTCCTGGTCCAATTTTATTTATTGTGCCGATTGACAACATTGTAATCAAATTGGATGCAATCCTGTCAATGATTGCAGTTACTGCTATCAGGAGTGCAGCCATGAATTCAAAATATCAGGCAAAGCATTTTTATTTATAAAATCGACAATAATTTTAAGCAATTTTAAAGCCAATTTTCAGTTAGAACTGTAAAAAAATGACTGACAATTTTAAAATAATTTTAGCAAATCATAAAATGTTAATATCAGTGATAGCCTCTATGAACATTGCATCAAACTGAAAATAAGCATCACAAAGTTTAGAATGCAAAAATACATGTGTGTAAGTTACACAAATCAGTAAAACTTATTCAAACTGTCAGATTTAGAATTTGGTAAATGGTAAACTAGACGAAACTGGTGAGAGTATTGATAGGCACTTACCTTTCTGAAGATTTGCTCAGTTTGGGCTTTTGCGGACAATTATCTATTATCTTGTCCATTGTGGACAGCTGCCTGCTTGATGTACACAAACCATCCCCAATCCCAGAATAACTGATTTCTTCATAAAGGGGAGCAGAAGGAATAGATGGAGAAATTGAACGAAGTCCATTTAAAGCTTCCAGTAAGGAAACCGGCTCAAATCCAGGAGGAATATGTTCAGATGTCTGAAAAAAAAAGACAGAGGAATCAAGTTAGCAAGGAATTTTTGAAAGTCTTCAAAAACTTTGGAAGTAAAAAGTTAGAAAGAGGAGGCAAATAAACACATTTGAAGTGAAAGAAGATATAAAATCTAACTTTCTTCACTGTACTTACCTGTCGAGCAACGAGTCAAAAAGTTTTACTTGCACAAGCTGAGAAACGATTGGCCTAAAAACTTTACCCTTTCGTTCCTACACCTTCAGGGAGCAATGTAGATATCTAATACAAGTAATTTTACTGATGAAGCATGAAAGTTGGTACCCACCAGTTAAATCAATAGAAGATTTATTAAAAAGTGTTTAATTTGATTTCATAATGCACAAAGATGACTCAGATTACGTTAACTAGAGGTTTCTCAGCATGCAAGGCCTAACGTTACTAAAGGAGGAAAAATGATAATTTTGAAAAGATATGAAGTAGGGATATGAAGTTGATTTCTAAAGGCACCAAAAGACAAATACTGGCAATATTCAGAAAAGGACAGGTAGCTAAAGGCTCTTCCAGCAGTAGATACCATAAATTGAGATACTATGGGTCAAAAACATACAGGATATGAAAACTAGGAATTAATTTTAAAACAAAAACATTATTAACTGCAGTCACACTGTATTCTTCTTGGAAAAAAAAGAAAATTATAATCAACTGAAGAGGTGGAGACAATCAAGTCGACCGACCCTCAAGCTGAACGAAGATCTGTAAGAATTCTATTCTCCTTGTACAAACTGATCTTGTTTGGTTTTAGTTTACGCATTAAAATAATGACATGTTATTATAATGATGCTACTCCAATGTCACACTGATTTTTTTTTTGTGGGACCGGTGTACATTGGTTTTAGGCAGAATTTAGTTCACTGCATTTCATCATTAGGGTTATCAAAACTTCTGGATATATTTGAAATGAAAAACACATTGAAAGCAACACTAACTGATCACTAACATTTAACTTTGCTGATGGCTTGTTACTACCATTTGAACAGTAATAGTAGTATGTTCCCAAGATGCAATGCAAGGAAAGCAAAAGTTGATGTTATCAACTAAATTTGCTTGGTTGTTTGCACAAGTCAGAGTGTACTAACATAGTGACATTTCGATAAGTATCACAAGTATAAAATATTCACATACTAGCTGTAAAAGTACTAATAGACTAAAATCAGTAAAAACGAGATTTCAAAATGTTCATCAACAACAGGCATGCAGCGGTTTTTAAACAATTCTTCTAATTTTAATGTAGCAACGAAGAGGAGTAAGTAAACAACCTGACCGACTTACAGAATGATCATCATGGTCCATAGTCTGTGCTAAGACAGGACTAAATGAAACTGGTGACAAGGCCCCGGGTTTTTTCCTCACAGCTCGGATCTGCAACAATGCTCGAAATGCTAGGAAGGAAAAAGCTTTTCATGAATATCCCATTCCCAATCCCAATCAAGGAGACCGGTTCACAGCAAATTTGACAGATAAGGAAATTCAGCATCAAACTGCCTATTGACATTTTTCAGACAGATATTCTCAACGTCCAGTTCATCTGATGGTTTCTGTATGTTTAAAACAGGTAAATATTATCGGCAAGCAATTTTAAAGACTATAAATTCAAAGGATAGAAAATAATTGGTGTTAAATGTACTGCTAGGCAAGATACTAACCATACCTGATAGGAAGGTAACAACACAGAATGCTGGAGAAACTCAGCAAGTCTTGCAGCATCTGTGGAGAGAGATTAAGAGTTAACATTTTGAGTATGGTATGACTCTTCATCATAACTGAAATGTTAACTCTGTTTCTCTCTCCACAGATGCTGCCAAACATGCTGAATTTCTCCAGCACTCTGGGTTTCAGATTTCCAGCATTCACATCACTTTGCCTTTACCTGATTAGGAACAGTGTAGGTTCAATGCCTGTTCTCTGCCAGGGAAGCTGTGAAAGGGGACTTCAGTAGCCACTAACAAACAAGTTCAAAGACAGATGAGATTTTTAAATCTGCTTGCAATCCAAGGAACCCCGACTGGCAAACAAGAGTGTGGGGATGCTGGATACAGATAATGCTGTGCTACACAATGATGCAGCATCAACCCCTTCGCTGTAGTCAAGTAACTGTTAAATGCTGACTGCCTTAATTCCTGGAAAATTGCCCGCTTTGCCAAGTTAGGAGCTGCTATTTAGTCAATGAAGCATTAGTCAGTATTACAGGGTTAGCTAACCATCTGGTCCAGATGCTGAAATGCAGATTGTTAATTTAAACATTCTGTAACATATTTATACGGCACTTTTAATGTGATTAATCATCCCACATCTCTACACAGAAACAACAAAGCAAAATTTGACACTGAGCTACATAAGGCAACGTTACGGTAATTAATCAATATCCTTGATCAACAATGTAATCTTTAAAGAACGTCTTAATGAGGGAAGTGAAGCTGAGAAGCAGAAGTGCAGGGAGGGAATTTCAGAACTAAAGCCTAGGTACAGCCAGTAAGTGTGGTGCACTGAAAATTGTGGCTGCTCCAGATGCTGGAATTAAACACATATCTCAGAGAACTGTATGGCTGAAGAATATCAAAGAGATGGAAGGGGCAAGGCCAAAGGATTTTAAAATACCGATCAGAATTTTAAGATCAATACTTTACCAGGACATAACACAGGTCAGTGAATTCAGGACTGATCAATGAATGTGACTTGGCTCGAGCAACGACATGGACAACAAAGTTTTGGATGATCCCAACATTATAGAGGAAACTACATAGGGTAATGACCGAAAGCACATTGGAATAGCTAAGCCCACAGATAACAAAAACATGAAAGGGGTTTTCCAATAGCAGATGAGCTAAAGCAAGGGTAGAATTGGGCAATGTTAAGGAGGTGGAAACCATTGGTCTTAGTTGGACTAGAAGTCGGTTCTCACATGCTAACAATGATAGCAATACTGAATTTTCAGATGATCATGTGAAACTACTGCATGGAGTTCAGATACAGGAGGGACTGAGGATACATGAGGGGGTATGGTGGTGGTGGTGACACCAGATGTAACAGCATGGGAATGGAGTGAGATGTCATAATTTAGTACAAAAATCATACAAATAAGCATTAATCTTCAACATGTTTGCTTTGTGATTGCTAGCATTTTACAATACTTACGCAATCTGCAGATCGGACAGTTATTAGCCTGGTATCGGAGGGTGTCTGCACAGGTGCTGCACAAGCACAGATGTCTACAGGGTAAGATTAAGGTATCACGTAGGTCAGACAAGCATACAACACACTCATTGCTGTTGTCACTGTTCTCATCATCAGAAGGCTGCAAAGAAAGGGATTTTACAAATTTAAAAAAAAGCAAGTAATTGTTTTCACACTGCTTATCAGCTGCATATGTTTCACAGAACAACTATGTTCCAGCCTGCGCTATTTTCCACTCCCTTACCTTTTGAGGATTACATTCTGTTGGCAGAGACCAGAAACTGGACCTATTGCTCGTGGCAATGAGCCTGCCTGCTGGCTGGATAGCTGGTGACAACTTTGGTGTGCCCACTGCCCCATCACAATCAAAATAAATCAGGCACTGCCTAGTCACTTTTGGGACTCCTTGATCTTGCAGAGGAACCTCCCGGCCTCTGAGAGCTACAGGCTAACCACCCCAAAACCTGAAGAAGCTCAAGCAGCTTGCTGGAGGGAGTGTGTGCTGGGGGGGCAGGAGGATAATGGCAGGGGACTAGCGAATGCATGAGGGCAAGTAGGAGTGGGAGAGAAAGAGCAGCCCCTGACACAGGCAGGACTCTGATTGCATCAAACAAGGCGAACCCTACCAACAAGGCTACAGGCATTCCCAACAGTTTACCTGGTGGATTCCCCAAAAGACATGACCCCTGTCTGTTGATGACAGAATATCAGCAGTTGACTTAAAATAAATAGAATACCAGTAGTGATAGGGTGGGGTCCTTATTTAGGTACTTAAAGATCTCAACTGACCTTCAGACAGGAAGCCTGCTCTCAACTGTTCCTACCCCAGATTTAATGTGGAGTGGGAGGAGTTTTCAAGTTGGGAAGACAAAAGAATTTCCATCCGAGCCTATCACTATATTATATGTTTCAGCTGCTCATTTGGGGCGGTGAGTTAGAAGGAAGTTCTGCCTCATATCTTTTGATTTTACAATTAGCGCTATGTGCTCTGCCAGGACATGGATGGAAGAAACAAATGTTTAAATAATTGTTAAAATAAATCAGTTAATTTGCTATTAGCTCCAATTTAATAATTGACACTAACATACTTCAGGGTTTTTAAGCTATCATTCTACTGGTCTCATCATGTAGAATGCAATGTAGGTTATCGGTGAACTGTAGATGCTGGAGAATCCGAGACAACAAGGTGCAGGGCTGGATGAACACAGCAGGCCAAGCAGCAT